TTAGTGCAATATCATCCTGTTTGATCTGAAGGAGTCTTGAGTTGCAAAGTATAAGAAATGGAACCCTTTGAAGACATGGTATCACTTCATCGTGCATGGAGGACCAGCCCTGTCTCTGCTATCCACAGTACAGAACTTGAGATGCACAATCTTTACATGTATAAAATCTATTTGAAGTTAAGATTGTCTCTTGGTGGCTTCCGGGATATATCTATGCAAGGTTTTCTGACAGAAGGCGTTTCCATTGCCCTTCCATCAATTTTGTTTTGTTGTTGTTAATCTACGTGTGGTAGCCTAGCAGTTAAGATGCTGCGCTTGTCGACCAGAGGTTTGGCAGTTCGAAACCTTAGTACCGCATGATAGGAGGAGCTCCTGTTCTTGCCCTAGTCCCCGACAACCTAGCAGTTCGAAAGCATGCAAATCCAAGTAGATAAATAGGTATCACTTTGGTGGGAAGGCAACAGCATTCTATGCACCTCAGCATATAGTCATGCTGGCTACATGACCACAGAAGTGTCCGTGGACAACACTGACTTCCTCAGCTAGGAAATGGAGATGAGCGTTCCCCCCTAGAGTTGGACATGGCTGGACAGGGGAAACCTTTACCTTTAGTCTACAGACTAGCTCCCAGTCCTGGTATTCTATCCAAGTATTCAGTAGGCACAATGGTCTTTAGTTTTGAGATTTAGGTATAGGTATAGTTTCATGTAACTCAATATAAAATCATGATTCCACTGGGTTCCAGGAGTTTTGAGTTTTGTAGCTGGACACAAGAAATTAAATTTACTTGACCCACATGATACTGGGGAAAAGAATTACTTGGTGCAGGCTCACTGCTGCTCACAGGTTGAGATAAGATGCACAAAGCATACCTGTATGGGACCCATACTATCAAGTAAGAGGATTTTATGTTATTAATGCTGAGAGGTAATAAAGCATCACTGATGCCATCTGTTTAATGCCTCACTGCATTATCATCTTGGCAATATGTAATTGACAACAGAGAAATTAAAACAAATGGTCTCTGTTCCCTAATCTGATTCCATTGGCTCTTACTTTACCTTTTCTTTTTGCAATTCTTATTCGTTTTACCCTTTCCCTCAGTTCGTATTTCTACACAATGCACATTTGGATGCATGTCAGGAAGCTAGAAGAATGATTGGCAAAGAATGCCAAAATGAATTCTTGTTTTGTTTTCAACAGGGTGACAAATTCCACTGCTGCAGTAAAAATTCCTTATGATGAACTCTTCTGACTCTCTTCTACAGGACTACAAATATAACTACTGTTGTATTGTCCTTGAATAAAACTTGGACATTGATGGAGAAATAGTAGTCACTTTATGTTAGCTGAATAGGCTTAATATAAAGAGCCTATTATTTTTCCACCAGTGTTCAAGTATCATTCCTAAGCAATTGTTAAGGAAGTGTACGTGTATATAGTAAATACTGCAGCAGAAATACTATCAGTGCTGTTCACTAAAGATAATCATTTAAATTTGATTTCCTGTTACAGGTATTACAGCTAAAATAACACTGAAGAAATGGACATGCAGCTTTTATTGACCTTTAGAATTGTTGATCATATAACCTTGATCCTGATTTTTAGTAAAGCAGAAAAGCACATTTATCTTCCCTCCCTCCACTCTCCAAAAATCAAAGCTATTGCATCTACTATTTTTTGTTTGTTTGTGCTTTTCAAGCCATACTGCATCTCTTCCACATTTTCTGTTTCTGGAAAGTGTTCGCATGATAAAGAGCCCGGAAACAGTATCTACTGCCTTTTTAGTCCATATATCTAGAACAGTGGTGGCGAACCCATGGCACGGGTGTCAGAGGCGGCACTCAGAGCGCTCTCTGTGGGCACGCGCACCGTCGCCCCAGTTCTAGGCCTTCAGCTGGGTTTTATAAAACCTTTTCGCTTTAGGCCTCCGCCGCCGTGTGCAAAAAAAAAAAAAAGTTCAATCAGTCAATTTCAACTTCTCGCAGGAAAAAAAAAGATCTTGCAAAGTTGGAATTGACTGATTGAACTTTTTAGTCCCACCCAGTCTGCCGTTACCACCGCAGCCACGCCCACCCAATGGGCCACGCCCACCCAATCGGCCACGCCCACCCAATCGGCCACGCCCACCCGGCACCCAATGATGCATAAGTGGGTTTTGGGTTGCAGTTTGGGCACTCAGTCTCTAAAAGGTTTGCCATCACTGATCTAGAATCACCCACCTTGGGAGAGAAGAAAATATGTCAACCTTTTTCTTTTCCCCTCCACTATTGGCTGCACTGTTTGGGGTTTGTAATCAGCAATTAGACTTGAATTGGAGGAGAACGTCAATATAAAACTCCCAACAAGCAAAGGAAAAAGACTGTACTTGAAATAACAGGTTTCAAGGGCAAAATAAGAGAGTATATAGTGTATAAGTAGCATTCCTGTTTTAAACAAATCAGTCAACAAATCACAATAGTTTTTTTTCTCCCTTATTTATTTCAGCAGTTAATCAGGTTTTATTTTGTTCTTTTTTTGCAGTGAACAGCTAATTCTACTGAAACTTTTTGGTCAAAGAGAATATATTATTGTAGTCACTTATATGTTGCTTATACAAAATATGGCTTTTTTATATTAAAACATTCACTTGTGCTACTTTGTGCTAATTTAAGCAATTTCATATACTGTTTGTACATTTTACACTAGTGGGGAAGGCAATGCAGCTTGACTCTATTGTTGCCTCAGACAGCTATTCCCAAGAAGATCTTAACCCTGATTTCCAGGTGTAGCTCTCTTTCCAAATGTTCACATGAATAGAACGAACTTCTAAGTTATGTACTAGATACCAGATATACAAAGGTCCCGTTTTTAAAGACGTTCATATACAGTAGCTAGATCTCAAAGAAACAAAGTATGGAATATGTGCAAAAACCAATCAAGTGGCATGCTCACATAAACAGTGCTGTACAAACTAAGCAATATTTTATGAAATTGTTTATGAACCCAAAAGATATAACATCAAATATTAATTTATTTTAATTCTCCTTATGGATTGACATTTTGTTTTCAAGGGGCTACGTAGGCTTAAATATAGAATCAAAATATTTTTGTCTTATTTTCAGGTGGATTAATTCACAGTTAATCCAAGTAAGCAATTTAATCATTCTTAACTCTAGACCATTCATTATCAAAAGCATCTGCATTTGTTCATTGTGAACCAGGAATATGCAAAATGATCAAAACTGAAAAGCTTCTGAAATCAAAATGGGTTGTTGTAATCATTCTGGAAATGGTCAAGCTCCAAATTTCCCACATCAAACACTAGTTTTCTAGCTGTTTGTAACAACTTGCTCCAAAAATCAAGTAAGTCTGGGACAATTTAAACTTTTTATATTTGTTTTAAGAATAAATATTACAAAACTGAATGTCTAAATCATATTTAAGTTGAACCTATTTAACATTATAATGGTCATGAGAAGACATATGATTGCCAATCAAAATAAATCTAGTCACAATTACAATTTTGAATCTCTATGTTTATGAGATAGAATGCTTAATCCAGTTTGATATGACCATGCTGATTTATTAAAAATTGTTATTTATTAACCTGCCATTCACCAATACTGGAATGATAATGAGATATTTTTATAACACAGCCTTAATGTTACTGAAGTAAGATATGGGATATATTTTAATACCAAAAAACTCTATAGAGAAATTAAAAGATAATTTGAGGAATTATCCTATGAGAAAACTGACACAATCCATGTCTCTTAAATTTACTATGTGGACTAAAAGACAATTATTCTTTAGATTTCACATTCCTCAAATTTGCAACAGAGTTCTCAAATCAAAGCATGAATGAAGTCTTTCTACCTTTTGGCAACTCCCTAAAGAAGATTGAAGCAGTGTTGTGGTTCTACGAATTATCTTGATTTTTTTTCTTTCTGTGCTGTTTTAAAATTTATATTGCTTCCCACTTGAAGTTATGGTCTTGCTTCTCTCTGTAAAGGGAGATTGTGTCCTGGCAAGAGGTTGCTTCATCTAATGTCCAGAGCATTCATTTAACAATGGCAACTGGGACTTAATCTGGGATTTACAGTTGCTAAGCAAATGGTCACATTTTACGACCGCATTACTTAACAATGGCAATCCCAGTCTACAATTGCCATTGTAGAATGAAGAATTCCTGCATATGATTCCTGATTTGTCTTCATTTGGTACTATGTCTCTACGTTGCGCAGAATATTTTCATGACCTTTGTTGGCTTATATGTTATATTTATTCTAAAAGCTCAGAGTTGCCTGCTGGTGGACCCTGGAACTCCTTTGAAGTAAGGCTGGGTTACATTTGGGATTTGTGTATTTGTGTGTGTGTGAGAGAGATGTTCCTGGTATATTCAATTGAGTGGATCTGCACTTTTTGATGAAGGCACATGGTGATCTGCAGTGGGGAAGAATGACTTGTAAGTAGTTTATTTCTGCTTCTATAGTTCTGGCTACTGAATGGCAAAAGACAAACTCAACTTGAAGCGCTATACCAATGGTGGCGAACCTATGGCACAGATGCCAGAGGCGGCACTCAGAGCTCTCTCTGTGGGCACGCGCGCCGTCGTCCAGTCCTAGGCCTTCAGCTGGGTTTTATAAAACCTTTTCGCTTTAGGCATCCGCCGCCGTGTGCAAAAAAAAAAAAAAGGTTCAATCAATCAGTCAATTTCAACTTCTCGCGGGGAAAAAAAAGATCTTGCAAAGTTGGAATTGATTGATTGAACTTTTTAGTCCCACCCAGTCTGCTGTTACCACCGCAGCCACGCCCGCCCAATGGGCCACACCCACCCAATTGGCAATACCCAGCCAATGGGCCACACCCACCCGGCACCCGACGATGCATAAGTGGGTTTTGCGTTGCAGTTTGGGCACTCGGATTCTAAAAGGTTCACCATCATTGCGCTATACTGTATTAGCCACACAAGAGTTCCTGAATAAAAGCCGGGATGTAAATTTAATAAATACACTCACCGATCCACAGCTTCTACATCAAAGCAGAATCTCTTCTCTATAGAATCAGTCTTCCGTCGAGTGCAAGATTTGAGGATAATAGCTTCGTCTTCTCCCTGGCAGGATAAGAAAATTGCATATTAGGCCAATTCTTTTTTCTTCATCTTTTGTTTAAAGAAATCCAATCTAGAAACAACTTTGCTTTCAATGCCAGAAACATTTACTTTGGAACCAGTATTTTACCCCATGCTGATTATCAATTAAAACCAGCTAGCAGAGAAAAGGATTTGTATATCCTATGAGGTACGCTTTGCAAAATGAGAAACAGAAGCTTTATTTAAACCTCAGTTAAATCTATCAATCTTAGAAGAGATAAGAACATAAGACAGCCCTGACAGATCAGAGCAAAGCTTTGTCTAATCTAAAAGCTTGCCTCAAAGAGCGCTTTCCTGTTCAGCCAAGCCAAAGCAAAACTGGAGAGTGTCTCTTGCGTGCTCCTAGCATTGGCCACGATGGAATATTATCTCCAGCACTGAACATAGTGGTCCTCGACTTACAGCCACAATTGTGCCCAAAATTTCTGTTGCTAAGCGAGATAGTCATTAATTTTGCCTCATTTTTACAAACCTTTCCTGTTAAGTGACTGACTTCAGTTGTTAAGTTAGTAACCCAGCTGTTAAGTGAATCTGATTTCCCCACTGGCTTTGTTGTCAGAAGGACCCCAGGACACTGTATCCATCATAAATATGAGTCAGTTGCCAGGCATCTGAATTTTGAACATGTGACCATGGTGACATTACAACGGTCGTAAGTGTGAAAAACAGTCATAAGTCACTTTTTTCAGTGCTGTTGTAATTTCGAATGTTCACTAAATGAACTGTTATAAGTCAAGGACTACATGAATTTCTAATGGTCTGTGTTTTTATCCCTAATTACAACAACAACAACAATAATAATAATAATAATCATAGAGTTGAAAGGGACCTTGGCGGTCTTCTAGTCCAACTCCCTGCTCAGGCAGGAAACCCTAAACCATTTCAGACAAATGGCTGTCCAGTCTCTTCTTAAAAATTTCCAGTGTTGGAGCACTGACAACATCTGAAGTTGTTGTTCCACTGATTAATTGTTCTAACTGTTAGGAAATTTCTCCTTAGTTCTAGGTTGCTTCTCTCTTTATTAGTTTCCATCCGTTGCTTCTTGTCCTGCCTTCAGGTGCTTTGGAGAATAGTTTGACTCCCTCTTCTTTGTGGCAACCCCTGAGATATTGGAACACTGCTATCATGTCACAATCACAAGGTTGTCTTTCAATTGCTGGGAAAACCAAGTGCCAGTCTTACCAATTTCCAATCTAGTTCTGATTGTAACCACAGAAAGGAAACTAAACCTGCTCAATTACTAATCAGGCAATGTTCGGATCTGTTGTAGGCTTTAGTTCAATTCAGAGATTCTTAGAAAGACCTGGCAGATGAGAAGCTCCAAATGGCCTCTAAAAGTTACACTGATAGGGAAGTGCCACAAAATGAAATAAACATTCCCAGACCGTGAATCACGGTCCAAGCAGGAATGCCCTTGGAAGAATACGTGTGTATCCCATTACTAGAGTCATACGTGCAAAAAGCTATTAATTGGGATGTGTCAAGTAATGACTTTGTTTCAGGAAATGACTTGGCTGAATAAGAATAACAGGAACATTGTTTGAGACATAGTACCTGCAAATCTTTATAGCTCTAGAAGCATTGCCAATGCAAATGCAGACAAGTAAAAGGCTGCAGGGCAAAACAAAGTGAATATGAAAATTCATCTCATCTCTTTAAGGAATGAAATTCATATAAACAGCAAGTGCCCTGAGACATCTTCCTGGTATTACATTAATTGCAACAAACCTGTTTAGGAAACAAATTACTATGTTGGAATGTTTGTATTAAATACTTGAAAGCTTTTTAAGTGGAGCTCTCTTTTTTCAAGTAAGATTTAGTTAACTTTTTTTTTCCATAGAAAGTTCTTTTCTAGGGTAATGCCTAAATGAAGAATTTGTGGAAACTAAACTGAGATAGTTTGATTCTATTTTTTTAACATCGTGCATGTGCACAGATGCATGACTTTATACACACACACATTTACAGATAGTCATTATGTACATACAGTATCTACATGCACATCACATATATTTAGATATATATGCAGATCATAATGGTAAGAGAAATGGTGCAAAGAACATTTTGGTAAACAAGGAAGCCTTGTTAACCTGAAAGTATCCTTGTGTCTGATATGCACAGTTATGTACTCTTTTTTTTTTTTGAGTTGTGAATTGTGACCTAACATGTAGAACAGTAGATTTCAGCACATTCTCATTCTCCTATCATAAAGATACAAATACAATTAATTCATATGCAATGAGAATTGAATGAATGTATTGTTTATGCCCAGAAATAAATATATTGCTTCATATCAAAAGAAATAATAACTCTATTTAAATGTACTGGAAAACACTAATTATAAAGGGAAGGTGTGAAAATGTAATCCAGATTCATCATACCATGTGAACAATACGTTGAGAAAGATCTGAAGGGACTACTTAAATACAATTATAGTACTTCATGCAATTAGTAACTTTGGCCAACTCCATTTTAAACTACCATATTTTATTTTAGCCATAAATGAAAATAATCATAACTATCTCCATGACAAATCATCTATATTTTTACTCACCCCTTTTCCACCAGACTTCTGGTCAAATGGCACCATCGTTATTCGTTTGGATTCACTCTGATATGTGCAGTAATGCTTTACCCAGGATGTGCCAAAATGACCTAGTCAGAATTGAAATTGTATATTTCAGGTATGATACAAATGCAAGCTAATTTTAATGGAATGTACATCTTAACATATGGAAGGATGGAACCAAACTTGCTGCATGGGCTACAATTCATTATATGATTGAAACCTTTAAATATATTAAGGGTATGAGTAAGTTTCTAGAAGGCAGGATTTTCAATATTAAGCATCCAAGAACACAAGAGGCATAATCTCAAATTGACAGGAGGGAAGCTCAAAAGTAATGTTAGAAATTATTATTTTACAGAAAGAGTAGTGGAAGCTAGGAACCAACATCCAGAAGAAATAATGGCTCAATCATCAGTAACTGAGTTTAAACATGCTTGGGATAAATGCATGTTCTTCATGTGACAAAATGATAAATAAAATAAAAAATAAATAATAAATAAAACCCAAACCCAAAGGGCAGACTCACTGGACCACTAGGTCTTTTCCTGCAGTTAATTTTCTATGTTTCTATATCCAAAGTACTGGATTTAGAAGTCACAAATAGTAACTCTTATTTGAATTACTGTGTCAATTTCAGTCCTTGAAAACAAAAGGGAGTACTTCTAGAATTTATAATCTTTTTCTAGTAAGTCTAAAAAATACTCTAAAGGAAAGGAAAAAAAAAAAAACTCTGGAAGAACAGGTATAGTAGATGCAAAATGAAACTCTGCGTAGGTTAGAAATACAATTTAAAATCAGGAAAAATATTACTCTTCCTTGAAAGTAGTACACAGTCTACTAATAGCAGTCCTCAATCTGATATTAGATGGAATGAAAAGAGCAGAGATTGCAGGGACCAGAGCAGAAAAGCCCACACTCTGCTAGAGAGAAGTTCCCTGAGGATGGGCTCCAGTGCAAGTCCAGAAGCTCAGAAGACAAAACCTCATGGTCCCGGTGACCGACCCAGATTGGATCCTGCAACATTATCCTGGGACACATATATTTTGCCTTCATTCGTGAGAGCAGAGATTCTTCTTTAATACTCAATGCGGCTTTTCTCTACGCAACAACCTTTTAGATACAGGTGTTGATATTATTTCAAATATATAATTAGACTACCTACTTTGAACATCTATTACATTTGGTAGACCTCTCCTGAAATGTAAGTTTCATAAGGATCTTATTTTATTCTTGCTAATTACAGTTAGGACAGAAATAGCGAGAAACTGTAAGCTGGTTGCAGTCAATGTGGTTGAAAGCTCAAGGGCATAGCAATTCTTCTGCAAGTGTAAACATATTGCAGCAGACTAATTAGAAGGGGGGGAAAAGTAAAATCTGTTTTAGCCACATAATTTCTATTTCTCTTATACATTAATAAAATTCATCTGCCTATTCATCTTTATAATAGTTGGGAACCTCTGGTTCTTCTGATGCTGCTGCCTATTTTGGTAGTCTGGAAATACAACTAATGCCTATGCATGCTAGCAGTTGTGTTGCATCAATATCTAGAGGAGTTCTTTATTTCCTATCTCCAAACTAGCCAAACAAAGTTGCAATATTTATAGGAAAGATACTGAAGATATTAAACAGTTTCAAATATCGTCACCCTAGAGATTTCACAGTGCATACAGTGAAATACATAATACTTGCTGTCATTAAAAATATGTAATAATATTTGGTCCCAGTAATTTTTATTTTCATTAAAAATAACTGAAAGAGGGAAAAAATAGAGGAATAACTATTTCTCTAAGGAGCTGCCCTTTCCAGAAGTTGTCTATGGAAATTCTCAATCATCCAGGTCATGGTTGTCCCAAAGGTGCTTTTACAAAAGGCAATTGGACTTTCTTGAAAGTCCAGTTGCCTTTGGTAAAAGTGTCTTTGGGATTTCCAGAGGTTCTGACTAAGTGCATCAGTCATCCATTTTTTTGACTGAAATAAAAGCTTCAAAGTCCATTCAAGGAGATAGTGTAAAGAAATTATTTGAAGTAAGCATAAAGGTACTCACGCTTTTCCTGAACGTAAAGGTAGCCCTCCATGGTGAAGGGACTGATGTTTTTGTGCTCATGAGGATTCTCCTTCATTTTCTCCATCAAGGATTCAACTTCTGATCGGGTGCCTTCAAAACGGTTTCTTGTCTGCATTTAAAGATTAATGGAAAATGAGTAGAAAGTATTTCAGTCAAGCTTTAAATACACAGAATATTATATTACAGTTATGTAAGAAACAAGACTGGCCCAAGAATTAATGCCATCTGAGGCAGAACTGCAAATGAAGGAGACCCATACCAACCAGATTTTTTTAGTAATATGAGACAGAACAGTCTTCAAGAATTTCATTTCTAATTCGGAAGATGTGCAACAATTCTGAATTAACAGGTAACCAATGGCTTGTTGGTTTTTTCATAGCATCAAAATAGGTTGCCTTAGGTGGGTTGCCATATTTTCCCTAATACCTTTACCAGTTAGAAATAGCGTATGGAAAATCCCATACAGGCATTTGGCTCACAACTTGATTCAACTGACATGAAAGCTGCATGATTTAAGCCAATAATGTTGCCATATATCCATTGTATTTATCAGTCCTTATGATGTCTGTTAATTAGCCGTTTGTTTTCTCAAAATAGAAAACTGCAGGTACACACAGAGTTCAAGTTAAAGCAGAAACATAAAATTTTGCCTTATACCCATCAGATCACTGCCGAGTCTAGTCTAATACTAGTAATAGCAACTATCAGCGGTCCCCATTGTTTGCGGCATGGCAACCCAGTTTGGTGGTGGAGAAGGGAACCAGACCATGAGAGCGGTGGGCTGGCGCACGGCCTGATTCCAAACAGGCCACAGCCCACTAGTGGGCTGCGGCTTGGGGATTGGGGACCCCTGCACTAGAGTGTCAAACTGAGATTTTTACATACTACCTAGAAAGGCCAGGTGGGTTAATTGACCTACCCCCAAAATAAATTCACTGTTAAAACATAATCTTGTTATTTCTTCTTAATCTTGACATACATACGTACATATATACATATATATGTATACATATACATATATATGTATGTATGTGTGTGTGTATGTATATATGTATGTATATGAGAATCTCAAGATTAAGAAGAAATAAAATGATTATGTTTTAATAGTGAATTTATTTTTTGGGTAAGGGGTTGGACTAGAAGATCTCAAGGTCTCTTCCAGCTCTATTCTGATTGATTGATTGATTGATTGATTGATTGATTGATTGATTGATTGATGTTCAAGATTAGAATGCACAGACATTCTAACATTGTAAATTTAGATTGTAGTAGGATTCATTTAAGCTTTTCATACATTATCAGTTTCTTTTGAACTATATCCAGGCATCATATGTTTATATAAAGCTTTGCAAAAGACAGAGGGCAAGAAGTCTTAAGACAACTGAAAAATGTCTATAGAATATAACAGCTCTCAATATTTTGAGAGATTTTGAGAGATATTTTGAGGGAACAATAGCTATTAGAAACTCCTAAGTACATGGACGCAAAAATCTCTTTTTTATTGATGAAACATGCTGCCACTGTAAGAAGAGAGTAAATGTTATTTACATTAAGTCCTGGCACCAATATTCATATCTGATGGTACATTCTTGAAAAAGTAACCAAGAAGTTTAGGTATGTTAAGAATTTATGGGACATTTAAGCTTGCATTAAGACAAACATCTGGTTCGTAAGACAAAAATAAATATGGCTATTTTGAAATTGTTTGCTTAATCACCAAGTTTACCAGCCACCAATGGAGGAGGAGGAAGAAGAGGAGGTGAATTTTGTTTATAGTTATACAAATTAAACTTTTTATTAACATAGGAGTCCCTGCGGATTTTACTCCGCTAGTTGTAGCCAACTATAGGGGGCAGTGGTCATCTCCATTTCAAGGCCAGTAAGCCAGCACTGTCCAAAGATGTTTCTGCAGTCATGTGGCCAACATGACATCACAGAGCGCTATTACCTTCCCAGTGAAGTGGTACCTATTTATCTACTCGCATTTGCATGCTTTCAAACTGCTAGGTTGGCACAGCTGGGGCAAAGAGCTGTCAGACACAGCACTCAGGTCTTGAACCTGGGCTGTTGGCTTTCCAGCCAAAACCCCCAGCATTTTAACCACTGACCCATCACACCTTCCCTTTTATTAACATAGACACAGCACAATATGCTTGGGCAAAAAAGTTGAGGAACAACACGTGAAAGAGATCCTTTATCTTCAATAAATGTTTCTGCTTACATTTTGTATACTGATTGTCAGCTCTGTCTTGAAATCACTGAAATCCTTTGCAAGTTCATAGCCATGGTGGTAGAATGTGAAGAGCCCTTGCAGAAATGCCAGCAGCTGCATGGGAGGAAAAAAACAAAACAAGGAATTGAATTACAAGAACGTGTTGGTTTCTTTTTATGTAGTAGAGGGTAATTGCTCCAGTCCTCTTTCTTCCCACCATAAAATCAGAGAGGATGCTGTGGTTGCAGTCCATTATGCATAACACAGAGTAATTTCTGCTAAATTCACTGGAATTTGTTTCTGAGTACACTTTATAAACTACTTTATAACTACACCAACAATGAAACCAAAAATTTAGAGGATGGATATCCAGGGACATGTTTAAGAAAGAGCTGGCAGAAATATTGTGATTTAAGTTTTTAAAACTGCACAGAATTCCATTCCGTATGTCTTGAATCTTCTTTCCACACCACTTTTAATCCACTGTAGATTCATTATGGAAGGTTAACAATTACAGAAGCTCCCTTCTTTATTTCTTAAGGCTGAAACTCAACAAATGTTCAAATCAGATTGAATTCATTTCTTCTTCTTGTGCCATATCCGTTATCGGACGTTGGCGATCATGTTGGCGATCCTGTTTTTATCAGCAGCCGCACGAAAAAGTGCTGCTGAGTTTTGTCCAAACCAATCCCTTAGATTTTGAAACCATGATGTTCTTCTTCTGCCTGGACCTCATTTGCCTTCAATCTTTCCCTGGAGGATTAAATGGAGTATGCCGTATTTTTCTGAGTGTCGCATTACATGTCCGAAATATTCTAACTTTCGTTTTTTAATTGTTTAATTCATTTCTGTGCATGCTTATTTGATAGTAACAAATGGAGCACAGAGAAGCTTGTTGCAATTAAACATATAAAATTAGCCTGAATCTTACATCATGATCATGATCATCAACCCATCATCATCATCCATCATCATCATCCCACCTTTACTTAGTACAATTCAAAGTAATGTTCCTGCCTTCTATTGTCCTCACAACAGCAATGTGGTGAGGTGAGGGAGAATAATTGTCCCAAAGTCACCAGCCAGCTGTCATGCCTAAGGAAAGACTAGAATTCCAAATCGTTTTGTGACTGTACATACTTTTTTTTTCAGACAGAGGAGAACAAAATATTGGACAGATCTAAACAATTTTTAACAGCTTTGGCCCATTTATATCACTGTAAGACTTCACAAATAAATACATACATAAGTTTGCTTGTGTATGTAATTACACTTGGCCAATAAAGTATTCTATCTATCATATACATATATGCAGTTATGTCTTTTCTCCCAGATAACTGAGGGAAGAATCAGGCAGAATAACACCAAGAGAAAATCAGGAGAAGCAGTAGCTTCCTTCAAGCATTCAAATGTACAAAGGATTGAAAGGAAACCAGAAATGCCTGCTTCATCTATGCCTTTTCTATTTCCAACTTTTCTGCATCTACAGAGAGGTCAGCATAAGAAGCCTGCAGTCCTTTTCAACCACACTCAGCTACGATGATTTGTTAAACAGAAATTCTGCTCGCAGTTCTTTAGCGCCTGAACCATTTGTTCTATTACCACAGAATCGATTATTCACCTCATATATTTAAATTTAAGCAACATATCTGCTGTTTCCAGTGCCATCTGCAGTTCAAACACAGAAATGACATTAAATAATAAAACACGTAAAGTAGAAAGCTTTATGTCTTCAAAGCTACAGGAAGGAAGGAAAGGATCCCCACCCATCCTTCAATAAAAATAAAATATAAATAATCAGCAAAGTTGTTGAATCTTAAAATAACACGATATTTCAAAGAACAGAAAGAATTCTCAATCTCTCTCCTCTTTTTCCTTCCCTCTCTTTTTTGGGGGAAAAAGGATACAAATTTCTTTCCAAATGCTTCAGAAATGTAAAAACGGTTGGGCAAATTACAAAATATTGATTTTTTTAAAAAAAAATTGAGCATAAGCATATGGTCTGATTTAGGGCCAACACAGCATGGGGGGAAAGCCAAATAATCCCCATAGCTATCTTGTTTAGAATAATGAACAAAGAAAAGCAAAGATTCATTTAAAAAAAGAAAACAAAATTGGAACTCTTTGATTCCCAGAAAACAAAATACCAGCAGACAGATGCATATAATTTTTTTCTTACGAAAAAGGAACTTTAAGATAATGAATTTCTACTCAATAAATCTAATGTCAAAAATGTGGGTTACAAGCATCTTTACATCAACCTTCATCATGAGGTCACTGGGCATCTTACCTAACTCAACATAATCTCAACACCATAATCCTCTCCAGATAGCTGTCAGATGTTTCTAACATTTCACAATGGGGCAAGATCCAAAGCTATGTAGCAGCAACTCAAGATCAATCATTCCTAAAGGAGGCCAATTATCTTGATCCATTTCAAACTGCTTGATTACATAACATGTTTTCTCTCCTCAGGGTCAAAAAAGAAGTTGATCCAGTTGGTTCTGCTGGATATTTTGGTAATTTTCAGTGATTTCATTACAATATCTTTCTGAATTATTTTGTTTAAACTACCTCGACATGATTTAGAGGAACAAATTCCCAGAATCTGGTACTGAATGTGGTACTGAATACATCAACCTATGACTTACAGTGCCCTGAGGGTGTCTATTCTGATCCCCATTATATCGAATCTGATTCCTAGATAAATCATGCAGATTTTTGAATTGGTTATTTGAGTTATAAAAATGACGTGTTTAATGCCTCAGGGTAAACTGCATGATATTTTAAAGATAAACTGTAGCTGTCCTATTTTTTTTTTTTTTAACAATCTAGATCAGGAATGCACAACATAACATGACAGTCATAGCTAGGGGGGGCTTTGCTCAATTTCATGTTGTGCACCAGTTATGGCCCTTCACAGATCGAGAAGCTCTTCTTTCAGTCATTCAAGCCCTTGTCAAGCCCTATGGACTACTGCAATGCACTCTGCTTGGAGCTATCCATGTATGTATGTATGTATGTATGTATGCATGCATGCATGCATGCATGTATGTATGCATGTATGTATATTATTTGTTTGTTTAAAACACTTATATAGCCATCCATCTTACAACCAACTCTGGGCACTCCCAATCCCTCTTCCAACTAAGTCTAGGCAGTTCCCAATACGCTCCCCTCATCCCATTCCTACCAGAGGTCATCCAAAAGTGCAACCAATGCCATTTGTATCCCATGTCTGAACCTAAAACCTGACTAGAAAGGGTCCAGACGAGCCATCTCATGCAAGATCTCATGCAAGTTTGATATATAAATATCCAATTCACAGGTGGCTGCACCTATAGTTCCAAGGACCCTGTCCATTTCCTCAGGTTCAACAGGATCAAATAGTGACCATGTCCACTCCCTGGGCATCTCCAAAGGACCTATATCACACTTGGTCCCCAACTGAGAATAAATCTGAGCCAGCATACATTGCACTCCTTCCTCCTCCAATTTTCCCCACAACACTTTGTGAGGTGGGTTGGGCTGAGAAAGAGTGACTGGCCCAATGCCTCCATGTCAGCTTTCATGACCAAGGAAGGACTAGAACTTATAGTCTCCTAGTTTCTAGGTCAACACCTTAACCTGTACACATATGCACACATATCTTATTAATGGTCCCCAATGCTTCTCAACCATTACAGCAGAAAGTGTAATGGATAAAGCAACTAGAGAGCACTGAGAACAGCCCTTCTTCCCTATACACTTGTACAGCTAAGCATGAGGGGAAAAGGCAGGATTCAAGGAAGATGCAAACTGGCTACCTAGGCCTGTGATTAAACAGCAGCCCTTCAGTCTCTTTTTCCCGGCTGTTATTACCAATCAGCCAAGTAGCATCTCTTTTCTGTCATTCTCCCCACCCACCCAAGCTGGCCAGAAATGGCTGAGCATTGAAGAAAGGAAGACTGTACCAAAGACCAGGAAATCAAATACAGTAGTACCAGGGAGCAATTCTGGCTCATTCCTCTTGTGAAGACTATTGAAATAATACATTTCCATCATTTGAAATAGAATTGCAGAAATGTAGCATTCCTTACATAACCCATAAAAAAGAATTTCCTTTTTCTGGCTTTGTCTAAAACATTCAAAACCATGTAAAATGGGAGCTTTTCAGCAAATCAATCTCTTTTCTGAACCTGATGATTAAACCACTTCAGTATCCACCTTTCCTTACTGAGAATGAAATTAGAACCAATGGTAAATATTCATATTTGTGATATTTGGACGTAATTATTTCCATTCTGTTCACCTGGAAATTGTTTCTATGCTACTTACTGAAGGTAACTTATTTCTAGGGATGAGCAAATATTTTAAGATTAAGTTTCACATAGGCCTTTTTAGCTTTGCAGATTGTAACAAAGATATGCATAAATTTATCTTCTTTGCATATTTCGGTTAGTGCAAGCAATATTTTAAATAAATATAGGGGGACTGGCATCTTATTCTGAGTATAACATTTTTTTCATCCAACTCTTATATATATATATTTTTAAACTCATGAAACTGAAAAATTCGGGAAAATGCAAATCTCAGCTATTCTGATTTATGCATTGTTTCCTCACATATTTCATGGAGATGGGAGAAAAGCCACTTTATCCTTGCTTCTAAAGCATTCACAGTAACATAATTTACTGATGTTATATTTCAGAGAAGAAGAAATGCTTGAACGAATCACAAACATTTACTTACTGGTTCCACAAACTCAAACATCTTTCTCTCCTGAACTTCTTGTACTTTGAAGACATACTCAAGAGAAACTTCATAAAAGTGCTGCCTGACCAGGTCCACCTGGTTGTCTGCCTGTCAGTCGTCATGTGGATTAAAAGGAAAATAAAGCAAGTAATTAACTGCGAGCATTTGACATCAAGGTTTGACAAAAGGCTGTTGTTTGTATAGAAGATTCCCAACCAAATATATTTAATTGTAAAAGTCTATGTAGTAAAGGGCTAAATATTCCATCAAGCTCTTAAGAAAGATTGCCTTGCCTGTCCAATAATTAATGACGTACAAACTGAAGCTGGCAAACTTCCTTAAGTGGATAGAGTATCATTCTAAGAATCTGAGATTTTTTTTTCAAAGATAATTGAAGATTTCTCACTGGTATAGGTTGTCAAGTTCCCGTCTAAAGAATAATGATAGCTGATGGGCTCTGTTCAAGCTGAAGCCCTATAGGCAATAAACATATCAACTCATACTTTCTGCTACCTTCCAAATGTTCTGGGGTACAATCCTGACTAGCCATCCAAGGATTTTTCTCGCGATAGAATTCAGGAAGTTCATTTGGAAGGCAACAAACTGGATAAGAATGCAGCATAGAATACTCTCCCAAATCCTCTGCAAAGCAGACATATTTCATAGTAAAATGCAGTTATTTTTGTCTCAGATAAAATGATAAGCAGGGATTCCAGAGCATGGAAATTTTGAGAACTACTGGTTGAAAAAGAAGTGGCTATTTTCCTAGTCTTATTTTTTTTTAAAAGAAAAAAACCATATATATGAGTGTTTATCACAAATATATGGCACACACTGAATGTAATCTGATTCATTTGGACTCTTTTACTACGTGAGAAAGATGGGAATGGTCAAAATAACAAATATGGTAAATAAAAATCAGGATAGTACTCAGAGAAAGAGAGCTGCAATACTATGGATCTAAAGCTAATTATCTGGACAAGTTCTTATGTAAAAGACTTCTAAGAAACAACAGGAACAGGTTGATCTTTATTTATGTTCTTCACATACAAGAATATGTCTACAAGCTGAAAAGAGTTTTTAAAATTCATCTGGGACTAACAAAAGGTAGCCCACAGACAGAATATGTTTCTTTAGAAAGAGGTTTAGACCAAAACTTTGGTATCTGTATAGGACTTTAGTTCACTACCAGCAATCTAATGCTGGGCTGTAAAGAACTGCATTTCACACAATTATATTATGAGCTGATTGTTAATTATTCCTCTTTAATTGCATGGATAAGATTTAGTCATAGGTAATTAAAGACTTTAGGTAGTAAAAGCCAACAGAGAAGGAACTCTGCATCTCCAAAGGTGGTCATTTATGTTTGAAACGAAGGGTGAAAGGAAAAAAAAATGGGGGGGGGAGAGGAGCACTCAAATCTCTATAGAGAGAAATAGCAAACTTTAATATAAAATACAGACCACAAGATGGCACTAGTAGTCAATTATTACACAGCTTTACAGGGAGTTAGAAAAGCTGAGGATAAAATTGTCACCTTGATGGTCAGATAGCAGTGTTTCTCAACTCCAGCAACTTTAAGATGTGTGGATTTCAACTCACAGAATTCCCCAGACATCAAAATTACAGCATTCTTTATCGATCCATAATCCAGGAAGCAAAGACTCACAGGTTCAGTACAAAGCATCAATGCAAGAATTAAGGACAAAGTACAGAATCTTGGAAGCTGCATAAGGAATCTGTAGCCTTCACTGATTAGTAAATTGCTTAAGATGGAGTTTGTCTGAAGGTTATAAATTTTCTTTTTTTTTTTGTATTTTTTGCAGCCTGGACTGAGTTGCTGTTTATGAGCTATGGTAATAAAGAACTTCTCTTCAACTTTTGGCTAACATCCCTACTGCTCCTTTCCCAAGTTCCTTCAGATCTCTCAATTCTTGCTTGTGAATGTGCCATCCTCCATTTTGGACACATTCTTTAAGTCAGCCCATTTGAGGTACATTGATTCAAAAACTGTGGCCTTATGATGCACCATTTTGCCCAACTGAAGGTTACAAATAGACATACAGGAGAATTTTAGTAGTATGTAGATTGGTGTCCTTATAGCAAGGTTGTCAGGGAAGATCGGAAGGGCTCAAAAGAACCTTTCCCCCCTAACAACCTGCCCCGCCTCTCCTAATACAACACCAAAGAAAAGATTCTGAAAAAGCCAAGGTCTAGACAGATGCAGAAAGAAATGGCTCTGGTTCCAAGCTATGATAAAGACAAAGCTACTACTATGCATTGGACCTGAGAGAGGATAAAATGACAAAATATTGGCTGATATCATTCTCTTCTCGGTTGTATTTATCTGTCCTCTTAGCTTTGTCTTAGCTCTAGCAGGAGAGGTGTCTCCAGGTCCCATGTATTAGGTAGCATTTTCTGGCAGGATCCAGAAAGAGAACCCTTCCTGTTCTGATGCCCACCCTCAGGACCATCATTTGTCCAGAGATTAGACTTGGTCCAGCCCTATTGGGTTTTCATAAAACTTTGAAGACCTGGTTCTATTACCCAGCCTAGATCCTTGGATATGTATGTGAGCTTATGGTTATGTTGTTTGGTTTTATCTCAGTTTCTGTACATATTATTTGCAATGTTGCTTATTTATTTTTACTCATTGTTAGCTCATGGAATGTGTGGATGACCTTGGAGGACAAGAGGAAGAGATGCTGCTTATCAGATAAGAGAGGGAGGAGCCCCTAATGGATTAAATGGTCAGAGGAAAAAACATAGGCAGGACCCACCCTAATTGATCAGATGGTTAAAAATGGCAGCAGGAAGTTTGTACCTTCAAACTTGCAAGATTCTATTAATGTAGATTTACAATAAAGTAGAATTAACTCATCTAGTCATGTTTCCTGTCTGGTTTGCCCCGGAAGGCTGATACATGGTCATGTATTTGAGATAGGCAGCTGTATAAGTATTTTGGTGAGATGGGTAGCCAACTAGATAGGTAGGTAGGTAGGTAGGTAGAGACAGAGAGACAGACAGACAGACAGACGAAAATAAGGATGGGTGGGTGGATGATGGGTGAATGGATGGATGATCAAGCAATCATTGCAAGGCAATTTTTCTGGAACAACTGAAGCAACAATAGCTTAAGAAAGGCAGTAGTAAGGATTTTCAGGACTGCAGAAGAAAGAAAGGATCACAGCATTTTCCTTACACTTCCAAATCTGAAGGGGATAGACAGCTGATTTAATTAAAAGTAATATAAACTCTAACCTGGAATTTTAGAAAGCATTTAAAGAGCTCCAAAATAAACTTGCTTCTTAACGTACATACAACTTTAAGCCTTTCATACAACAGCAATAAGTAAACCTATAGCTTAGTAGTGCAAGCAAACAAAACAGCCAATCTCACCTCTTGAAGCTGAGATTCTTTCTTCTTGGAAGACAGATTTAAGTGCTTTTCTAATATTCCACAGTATTTCTCAGTCTCCTTGTCATACTTCTTCCTGGCTTCCTGTCAAAATATGCCACATAAGAAGCCATGAAAACAATAGTGTTGCAATAATCATGCAGAGACATAAACACCCCCATATACTGTATATGCACGTAGGTATGGTAAAAGCAAAATCAGTACGTTGTTCCATTCCATTATATTAACTTTAATAAACAAAAGATGTGGCTCTTCCTCCTCCCTTCTGTCCATTATAACAATGGGCCTGGGCCTCCATCCATCGACATTTGTCAATTCTGCAAGACAACAGCATAAGCTAAGTTGTTTTAGCCATGGCATGCAAAACTGACCCAAATTGATAAAGAATTTAGCAGATTGCACTTAAAAGATGAGTACCCTTATCCTTCTTCCAGGTGGTTCCCACCAGCACTATGCCTCCCTCAATGTCAAAGGACATTATTGGATGGGGGATAGCACAGCCTTTCATATTCTGGCAATTTGGGAAAAAGTTATGCCTAGGGATATAGCCTTGCTTACATTATCATCCATGAGATCAGTAGCCCACAATGTCAACATCACTTCCCAACAGCACAGCAAATATCTCGTAAAACTAGCTGGTAATTCCCTTTCATTCCAGAATAAGGGTACTGGTCTGGAGTTTGGGGTCACTAAACCACAGTAGAGATGGCAATTATCTTCACTGAAGTAGAAAATGTATTTTATACCACTATGGATGCTATTCACCCCCACCCAAGTTAGTGAAAGATATAGGGCACATAGGGATGGACAATTGATTTTCTTAGCCTCTTTGCTGAGCACCCCAAGGAGGCATATACTGTAAAAGCCGGTGAATCTTATCTATGGGATGTGGGGGGGGG